TAATTAAAAAAAATAACTAATCGACATTTAAATACATATAATATTATCGGTATATTGATAACGATTCATTAGTTTAAAACAAAGCAAATGTATTACATATGTATGTACAGTTGTGTTCACATAAATGGTAGTAAAATATATAGACAATTTTTTCTTTCCTTACTTAATTTAAATTTTATATAAAAATAAAGTTAATTCTATAACAAAGACCCTGCAAGATGAAGTCTCAAACTTTCTAGAAAATGTATAGAAATGTTAAAAATTTAAAAAAAAATTTCATCTAAATATGTAACTATCCGAATTTTTTTTTTAATTTGGAGTACGCAGTTTTGTAGCCCATACAGTTTCAGTANTAATTTAAAATATATTTATTTGGTGGGCTTATTAAATAGAACATTCACAATACTAGAGTTCACTTTTTGATGCGTTTGAGTGAAAGTGCGAAAATCGGCAGTTTTTTACAACAAACATATGGCACCGTTATGGCGTCGTTTCGCACAAACGCACAGCAAAGCAACAAAACAAACGCTAATCTTTGCCTTTCGCATTTTCGCATCAAAGAGTGAACTGCCTTAATAAAACCTGTGGACATTTGACAAAACAACTTCTCTCGAGATATGACAATTTTCCAAGATTTCTATCATATACATGAATTTTCAATGCGCATATTTCTGTCTTACCGCCATATTAATATGACTTTGAATATAAAAGTTATGGCAGTCTTATAATAGTCTAAGATCCAACAAGGGTACGACCTTCACCCACCTGTTTCATGGATTAAAGCTATTTTGTATGAAATTTATGTCTTGGCTGAAAAAAGTCCTGGCCAGGATATTTTTAATTAAATACTCAAAAATTATTATTTTTTTTTTAATTTTGTACTTATTTGTTTAATGAACAAATTATAAACCAATCGGAAGTATTAAGCCTATAGAATGTGAAAACGTTGGATTGTCTATTTTTTTCTGGCCTACTTATCGGGTTGGCAGGTATGAACTGGTAAGTAATACTAGTAATTTTCACTCATCTGTTTTTAGAACTTACATTGCACAAGAAGCACATAAGCAGTAGTAGTCGTCTTCAGTTTGAAATACTATGGCTGTTCCATGTCCTGAAGTATTTGGAACAGGGCTATTATGTTGTATTGAATTCGTGCAGTTTTTTGCGAAATGTTAGGAAACGAAACAATTTCAAGGTGACAGCTTTTGAAAAATGGTTTAAATTTAATTAGCGCTGCATTTACACGTTCAATAAATTGCTTCGTATCTGCTCACATGTATGAGTTGTCAAAAACCATTCTTTTGAACATGTTAACCTCATGTAAATGTCAATTATACCAATTCACAAAAACATTTAATAAATGTAAAAATCAGTACAAACTCAGAAAATCAGTAGATTTTGCGTACTGATTTCGGGTTCTTAAAAATCAGTACAATAAAACAAAAAATAAGCACATGTACTGATTAAATCAGCGCAACTGGCCACCCTACTTGTGATCCAGTGCACTGTCACTCCGATAAAACTTCTCTTTCTGCTGGACCAAATATCTGTTGTTGTGCACACAAAGTCAACTTCTTTTAGTTCCGACTTTATCTTCATAGCTTGCATTTCGTAGTGTTCTTCAACTGCACGTAATGGGATCATGGAGTGTATAAAATATTTTAAAATATTTTCAACGAATTGTTCTTGGGTAACTTTATACCCATTTGATCTCCTTTTTACACTGTTTTTGGGTTTGACTATACTTGCTGAATCCTCTCGTTTTTTTCCGTCATTCCTAACCTTTTTCACATATGCTTTGTACTCATCAACGCATTAGTTTCCATGTTTTCGCTTCAAGTGGCTCACAAAGTTCGATGTACAGTTATGATATCCTTTAACTTTAGTGATCACATCCGTAGGACATTTCATATACAATGCCGTGATTTTATTACCTATGGACTCTTCAGGTTAGGACTTGAAACATGTTCCATCAAGTCAGAGAAGACGCGTTTGCGAAGATGACGAGTCCTCGGCGCCGTCAGTTGGGGGCAAATCATTGGCTTAGTAAAAACACTTTACTTAGGTTGACCAAACCAAAACACAAAACACTATGCGATTATTTGCCTTATCCTCACAATGTGTATATTTGTATAAACACGTGCAAGATATTTTTTTGAATTTTTGATTTTTAGATAGATGACAGCTTTTGAAAAAATATTGTCTGATAAAGCTTACTAATTTTATTAAAGTAAAGTACTTATTGCGGGGCACCGAAATTTCGCAGATGGAAATTGCGCATTTAGACATTATTTCGGTTTCAACCGAAACTGTGCATGATTGCTTTATTTATTTTATTTATTTATTTATTTGTAACAGTCTTGCGACTTAAAAGTACAGATAGGTATTTTTAATATATAACAAAGTATGCGTATCTGTAAGTTTAAATTTTCAATTACAAAGCTGTTTATGTTTCTAAAACTATCAAATAACCTATATAAATGTATATTGTCTAAGTAGTTTGGTAGCTGGCGAGGCCTAGTCTCCAATCTACCTTTACATATGTACTATGTGCAGCGGGCGGAAGACCTTGTTTCCGCTCCGCGTTGCTCACGAGTTGATAGTCACGGTCGGAAAGGCCGAGTTTCCGATCCATGTTCCCGTCGTCATTAATATGCAAACCCTGACGCTGGATTCCGTGATATGAGGCGGGCGGAAAGGCCTAGTTTCCGCTCCGCGTTATGGTCTGGCTGTTGGGCATTCCGTTCCGTGCTCTCCTACCTAATAGCCAGAGTTTTACAGTGATCAAATAGTTGTCTTTTAAAAACAGCAAAGTTAACACAGTCTTTTACATGTGGCGGTAACTCATTAAAACACTTTAAACCTTTATAAAATATAATTTAATTTTTTTTTTGTCTACCTCTATTTCGTATTTACATATCATAGTTTAAAGTACAAAACCGCGTATCGACAAAATGCAAAACCGCGTATGTAAAGTTGTACAAATTATTTTCTAGAGAGTACAAACGCTCATATTTCAAAATGGTTCTCTTTTTATAAAGCAATCGCATTTCCGGATAGTATATTTCAGGACGAATGGATAAGGATTGAGCCAGGAGCTGGTGTGAGCAACAGCAAATGTCAGTTACTCGGATTTGCAGAATGACGATACGCAGTTTTGTACTTTAATCCACGATATGCATTATTTCGGGTTTGAAACGAAAGTGTGCATATGCATAGTATGGGCAGTTTCCGTATGCACAATTTCAGGGTGCCACTTATTGCATATAAGAAATTCATAAATTTCACGGAAAACCTTTATTATATGCATTCTTTCTTTAATGAGGACCACTCTAAATGGAATAATCCTTTATGAGCAAGGACGTCGCACTATGGGACTACAGCGAGGAGGTTCTGTAACCAATTAGCGACAAGTTTCGGATCGATATCGCACTTGTTGACGTAAAAATATTTCAAATCATACGTCAACAAAACCGATACCGATTCGAAAATTGTCGCTAACTGGTTACAGAATCTGCCTACAAAAATGATATCGTCCGATTCATTCTTTGTATTACGGCCTCGAACCGACATATATATATCTTTAATTTGAATCAATATTAAAAGCTCTATTGGCTCCCCTTAACCGTTTTTTCCATATTTTCCATATCGAGAGTATTGGATACTTAAAAGTATTGACTCAGCACATCACTACTGCTGTCCTCTCGACTGTGACGTCAGCAAAACAGCTGATTCTGTCAAATTCACTGAGAGCCGATTAGCGGTATTGCCATCGGCGCCACCTTCTGTATTCTCTCTACCGTGATTGCAGTCATACGACGATCTCGAAATAGTGCCGAAAGTCCCATTAAATCCCGAAATAGTCCCCTAAATCTCAAAAATCCGGATATAAATCCGGAGAATCCCGAAGTTGTCTCGAAAATCCAAAATATCCTCAAAAGTCGCAAAAATCCCGATATTAGCCACGAGAATCCTGAAAACTCCGAAGTAGTGTCGAAAATCCCGAAATAGACTCTAAAGACCCAAAAACCCTGATATTAGTTCCGAGAATCTCGAAAACTCCGAAGTAGTCTCGAAAACCTCGAAACAGGGGCGAAAGTCCCAATAAATCCCCAAATAGTCCCGCAAGTCTCAAAAATCCCGATATTAGTCACGACAATCCTGAAAACTCCGAAGTAGTGTCGAAAATCCTGAAATAGACCCTAAAGTCCCATGAATCCCAATATTAGTTCCGAGAAGCCTTAAAAGTCCCGAGAATTACGAAATAGTTTTAGAGAATCCCGAAATAGTCTTGAAAAGTCTGATTTAGTCCGGAGCATCAATAAAATCCCGAAATAGTTCCCAAATTGATATATGGTAAGTTTAGGTGAGGTGTGATGAGTTTGTATGTGGTGAGTTGATTTGAGGTGAGGTGAAGTGAGCTGTGGTAAAGTAAGTTGAGGTTAGTGTAAGATGAGGAGTTAATACATGCTAGTGCGAGAAGGCAAACCCCAGCACTCGGTGGTACTCTTTCTTATGTCCATTTCTTTTTTATATAACTACACCTTTGTTTTATAAAAAAAATACTGTATGTAGAATTTTCTAAATCTTGTCATCTTTATTTCCGTATTTTTTATTTAATAGGTTAATTATTTTTAATTGTTTCATAGAACAATTAAAAAAAGTAATTGCAATTAAATTAATTGAAATGTGCAATTACAAATTTAATTGCAATTAAAATTTTAATTGCAAATAATTTAACTGCAATGCACAATTAAAATTTTAATTGCAATTCATTTAATTGTAATGTGCAACTAAAAATTTAATTGCAATTGATTTAATTGCAATTACTTTTTTAATCAATTAACGAGATAATTGAAAAATTAATTGAATTACGCCCAACACTGATAGACGGAAGGCACGCTACGAGTGTTTTAGACGTACGCACACTCCGAGGCCCAAACATCGACTCGGACCACTATCTGGTTGCAGCCAAGATACGCACCCGCCTCTGTGCACAAAAAATGTGCGCCCAAATATGCAAGGAAAGCTTAACGTCGAAAAGCTGCAATCACAACAGACAGCTAGCGCTTTCGCTACTCGACTCTCACACCTGGGGCTCTATTCTGCAACTGTGAGTTTTCAAGTGTACACTGAAAATGGTGTGTACTCTCCATTTTGCGATTCAGGAAAAGTGAGAATTAGTTTTAGCTGTCAAAATTGTGTACACTTCCTAATTTTGCGATTCAGCATGTGTGAGAATGAGTTTTAACTGTCAAAATTGTGTACACTTCTCTTCCGAAAAACTCACTGAACTTTAGTCGGTGAGTTTTTGGTTGTGAGTTTTGCACTCGGTGTACACTACATTTTCTCACAATTACAGAATAGAGCTCCTGCTCTCAGAGAGCACTCTTCAACAAACCTACATATGCGAGCAGTGGAACCACATTTCCCGCTCATTAAGTACCGCCGCAGAAGAAGTAGCCGGATTTCAGCGAGCCCGAAACAACAACTGGTACGATGAGGAGTGTCAAGAAGCTGCAGAGAAAAAAGATGCCGCCTACAGGGCCACGCTGCGATCGGGNCGCAAGTCTCAAAAATCCCGATATTAGTCACGACAATCCTGAAAACTCCGAAGTAGTGTCGAAAATCCTGAAATAGACCCTAAAGTCCCATGAATCCCAATATTAGTTCCGAGAAGCCTTAAAAGTCCCGAGAATTACGAAATAGTTTTAGAGAATCCCGAAATAGTCTTGAAAAGTCTGATTTAGTCCGGAGCATCAATAAAATCCCGAAATAGTTCCCAAATTGATATATGGTAAGTTTAGGTGAGGTGTGATGAGTTTGTATGTGGTGAGTTGATTTGAGGTGAGGTGAAGTGAGCTGTGGTAAAGTAAGTTGAGGTTAGTGTAAGATGAGGAGTTAATACATGCTAGTGCGAGAAGGCAAACCCCAGCACTCGGTGGTACTCTTTCTTATGTCCATTTCTTTTTTATATAACTACACCTTTGTTTTATAAAAAAAATACTGTATGTAGAATTTTCTAAATCTTGTCATCTTTATTTCCGTATTTTTTATTTAATAGGTTAATTATTTTTAATTGTTTCATAGAACAATTAAAAAAAGTAATTGCAATTAAATTAATTGAAATGTGCAATTACAAATTTAATTGCAATTAAAATTTTAATTGCAAATAATTTAACTGCAATGCACAATTAAAATTTTAATTGCAATTCATTTAATTGTAATGTGCAACTAAAAATTTAATTGCAATTGATTTAATTGCAATTACTTTTTTAATCAATTAACGAGATAATTGAAAAATTAATTGAATTACGCCCAACACTGATAGACGGAAGGCACGCTACGAGTGTTTTAGACGTACGCACACTCCGAGGCCCAAACATCGACTCGGACCACTATCTGGTTGCAGCCAAGATACGCACCCGCCTCTGTGCACAAAAAATGTGCGCCCAAATATGCAAGGAAAGCTTAACGTCGAAAAGCTGCAATCACAACAGACAGCTAGCGCTTTCGCTACTCGACTCTCACACCTGGGGCTCTATTCTGCAACTGTGAGTTTTCAAGTGTACACTGAAAATGGTGTGTACTCTCCATTTTGCGATTCAGGAAAAGTGAGAATTAGTTTTAGCTGTCAAAATTGTGTACACTTCCTAATTTTGCGATTCAGCATGTGTGAGAATGAGTTTTAACTGTCAAAATTGTGTACACTTCTCTTCCGAAAAACTCACTGAACTTTAGTCGGTGAGTTTTTGGTTGTGAGTTTTGCACTCGGTGTACACTACATTTTCTCACAATTACAGAATAGAGCTCCTGCTCTCAGAGAGCACTCTTCAACAAACCTACATATGCGAGCAGTGGAACCACATTTCCCGCTCATTAAGTACCGCCGCAGAAGAAGTAGCCGGATTTCAGCGAGCCCGAAACAACAACTGGTACGATGAGGAGTGTCAAGAAGCTGCAGAGAAAAAAGATGCCGCCTACAGGGCCACGCTGCGATCGGCTGCAACGCGAGCCATGTGGGACCGTTATAGGAAGCTAAAGAGGGAAGCGAAACATATTAGCCGCAATCAAAAGAGAGAGGCCGAAATACGTGAGTGTGAAGAGCTTTAAATGCTGGCCGACAGGAAAAACTCCCAAAAATTTTACCAGAGGGTAAGGCGATTTACGGAAGGTCTTAAGACCAAGGAACAACAATGGCGACCTTGTGACTGATGTCCGGAACGTACTTAAATTATAGAGGGAACACTTTTCCACTCTTCTGTATGGTAGCGGCGCTGAAAGCTATAGAGAAGACGAGCCCCCAGTCGATGATGATGCAGTCGACGTACCACCACCTGACTATGATGAGGTACGAATAACAATAGCGCGCTTGAAAAACAACAAATCTGCTGGAGCTAACAGCCTGCCAGCTGAGTTATTCAAGTACGGTGGCGAGGAGTTGATATGGTGCGTGTATCAACTCTTATGCAGAATATGGTCAGATCAACATATGTGCGACGAATGGAATTTAAGTGTGCTCTGCCCAATCCACAAGAAAGGCGACCCGGCCATTCGCGCCAACTACCGCGGGATCAGCATTCTAAGCATAGGTTCCAAAATCTTATCTAGCGTATTGTGTGAAAGACTGAAGCCCACCGTCAGTGAACTGATTGTGCCTTATCAGTGTGGCTTTAGACCTGACAAATCCACCATATACCAGGTGTTCACGATACGCCAGTTCTTGGAGAAGACCCGGGGAAAAGGATCGACACCACCTATTTGACGACTTTAAAGCCTAAACTCTAAAGCCGCTTTCCATAGCGGCTAAAAACAGATGCCTATACGCCACGTTGTCTGAGTTTGCCATCCCCTCGTACATGGCATGGCTGACATAGTGCAGCGAATTAAAATACAGCGGCTCCGCTGGATTCGTCATGTTGTTCGAATGGACTCCGACACTACAGCTCTGAACGTATTTCCCTCGGGACCCGCCGGTGGTAGCAGAGGAAGAGGGAGTGGGGCCCCACTGCGATGGAAGTACCAAGTGAAGAAGGGCTTCGCTTCACTTGGCATTTCCCATTGGCTTCAGTTGGCACAGAAGAGAAACGACTGGCGTGCTTTGTTGAACTCGGCCAAAATCACATAGGAGGTTACAGCGCCAAATAAGAAGAAGAAGAAGGTGGAAACACTGCATAGTTCCGTTTCCATTAGCTCACTGATTGTTAGCAAGAATTCTGTGATCTACCTACCCTCATCAGCCTTGATCTCGAACTGTCCCAAATTTCAATCTTCCGCAATGCGGATATTCCAAAGCGCCAGTCATCTAACCTTCCTTTCCTACCCGAATCCAAACCATATTGAAAAATAACAAAATTCATAAAATCATCTTTTCTATACCAATACATTTAAAACACTGCTATTATTACAAAAACACTGCACAATTCAAAATCCTACTTTGAATAAGCTTAAGGCCTGCGCTGCCAAAGCTTAAAATCAGCATTAATTTAGAATTTTAATTGTAAGCTATGTTTTGTAGAAATAAATAAATTCATATGAAAATGCTGTCAAAATATTCAGGTACTCAAATATTATGACAGTTGAGCGGGTACGACACTAAAGAGTTGGTGCACTTCCGCGGGGACACTGTATTAAGAAAATGGATTGTTTTATATTCTATCATTCTTGAGCAAACCATACCCCATTTGGAGGCGAAGTCAAATGGTAAATCCATCCATTTGAGTGGACGCAACAATTGCAGGTTTGTGGAGAAGCTTGGTAAATCACAAAACAAAATTGTGAGCTCAAAATATTTTCTCTATTTTTGCATGTATTAAGTTTGCTCTTAAAAATAGTTTTAATTAAAATAATAGAGAAATCTCTAGCTTACATCAAAACAAACTTACCCGCAAATTTCAACGAGTCTTGGTAGGTGCAAATCGGATTGCTGCGGCCCCAAATTACTATCTCCTCTGACGCTCCCAACACTCACTTTCTGTCGGCTGTCTTGAGGGCTAGCACGCACCCCCGCCGACAACTCTGAGCCACTACCGTTAATATGGTATTGATTTTCGATTTTTCTTCTCGCATAATTCGCTTTTGTGGTCTGGTAGTTGGCATCCCAGTAGTCTTCGGCATCATCGCAATGCGTGGATATATTGCGATAACCCCCATTGCACTTGGAACTGCCACCAATTGGGTTCACAATCGACACACTGGTATCACCGCCATCATCTGAGCCACAACTGAAAGGGGTAGTCGCCGGATGCAGGTAATCATTGTCATTGTTGGAAAATGGACCATCGCCACCACCACCGCTAATACCGCAAAAGTCATCCACCCCATTCGCACCTCCTCCAATTGAACCGCTATCCAAGTCAGGTTTCCGAGTATGCATTACGCGGTTACAATTTCCACCATTCGGTCCATTTCCACTGTTACCGCAGATACGTGAAGTCATTTCAATATTTTCTGTGCGCGCCGATGGCATTGAACTCCACAGTCGCATTTTACGCTTACGTCGGGGCGAACAAAAACAAATTGCGGCGAATGAAGAACCCACCACGAAAAGAAGAGCAATGAGGAAGCAAATCAGCACAATTTGTCCACCCGATGGCGCTTCAGTCGGGCGCCGTATAACAGCCAATGTGACAGATGCTTCCACTTTACCGGCTTTGTTCTCTGCCGCGCAAGTATAAATACCCGCATCCTGCATGTCAGCCGAGAGTATGGTTAGATTTGAAGCATTTCGCAACATGTTTACTATGTATATCTTGCGACCTTGTGTTGCTGCCATAGTAAGAGGACCCGCAGATGGAACACCATATTCCGTTAAGTTCGCTACTACACGATTTTTCACCATCCACCGGACCGATGGCTCTGGAACCCCCTCTACAAAGCAACTCATAGTAATATTGCGCCCTTCTACTCCGTGCGCCGTTGTGTTGGTAGCGATTATTTGTGGCACGCAGGCAAAGTCATCCAGATCAATTTTATCCCAAGTTTTTCCCGCGACTCGCGATGGTGCTAGACATGAGGGTGGTATGTCATATGGAATGTTCTCACGTAGCATCCAAGAGCGTAGTGGTAGCAGTGCGCAGGAACAATTCCATTGATTTCGTGCCAGTTCGATGCCGTGCAAATTTTTGAGCGATGTTATTGTATCTGAGCACACCTCACTCAATTTGTTCCCGTCTAACTTGAGCCACTCCAAGGAGGACTCAAGTCCCGCGAAGGCCATCACCTCAATCGTCGCCAATTTGCAGTCGGACAAATCTAGTCGCACTAGCTGAGACACAAATCCGAAGGCGTCGTCATGCACTATCGAAATGGGATTACCATTGAGTTTGATTTCGCGTAGCTCTGGTATAAATTGAAGTGCCTCAGTGGGAACGCTGCTAAGCAAATTATAGCTCAGATCCAGTTCGATCAGATTAATTAGATTTCGAAAGGCAAAACGCTCAATAGCACGTAACCGACATTTAGCCAGATATACTTTCTGGAGATTAAGTAAGTTCACTGATGCGAAGGTGTCGTGTGGTATGTTGGCGATATCGTTGACAGTTAAGTCTAGAACCTGCGTTCCAGCGTCCAGTGGCACCGGAATATGTGTGAGATTCGCATTAAGGCACAAAACTGATTCTTTGCCGCTCTTCCACTTGCACTCGCACATGCTAGGACAGTCGCCTACCGTAGGATGGGCTAAACTAACGCAGCAAAGCAGCCAAAGTAGTTGCGCAAGCGGGATCGTGAGTATGCTTTGCAGCGACGTTTGCAACGCGGATAGAGGCAGATGAAAACCGATTGACATTTGACGCGTGGGCAGCGGGTGCCCTTGTATTCGACGCACCTTTGCAGCTACCGTTATCTGACGCGAACTACTGTCGGAACAATCGTTGTAATTAGATTGGAAACATTTATGCGGTCGGACTTCAGTCGACGCGTAAGCTTCCTGATCATGATTGCATTGCAATATGGTTTGCTTGTGACGAGCCATTGCATTTCCGGTTACAGCAGGTTAAAATCTTTGCTTTGAAGTGGTGCCACATTGAGGTGACTCCGTAGCGATGCAGGATTGGGTGGCCGAAGCGGTGGTAGGGTTGTTGCCAAACGTGAAAAGGCATTCAATATATGTATTGACTTTTGCTCGCAGGTCTTTTGTCTCTAACATGTGATTTTTCCATTGCTTTGCTTAGTGGTCTGTCTGTGCCTAATATAAAAACAAAAAAGCGTAGACGTGGAACACTTCAACATTTCGAATAGCGGTCACGGTGATAAATGTTGACGGATCTGCAATAGAAGTAAGGAACACGTAGAAACAAATTTTATTTTTTCTGGGTTAAATTCAACAATTTTTATTGAGCTTGAGGCAATTTTTAATGAAAAACTATTGTGGAAACGCATCAATAATTTTGAAAAAAATGGTAGAAGCGATGGCTATTTCGGAAATCACCACATTTCCTCATCAGACTTCTTTCAGTGGGACTCGATCCAACGACCCCACCTGACTCAGCCAGTTGCCTACGCACCGTGCTAGGTTCGCCTTGTAAATTCTTGTTACTTTTTTCCACTTTTTCATTTGTGAAGCCAACTACAATCAAGCGCAGCTATTCCAGTGCCATTTAAACTTGATCATGTGGTTGTTGGTTTTGTTGGTTTTTGTTAATAATCCTATTTTTAGAATGTTTAACTTTTAGGTTTGCTAGTCCTTAAGTTACTTGTTTGAGCTTTAGGCCGTTTTTATTGAAAAACTATTGTGGAAAAGCAACAATAATTGAGTAGTCCACTTGCAAACAGCGTTACAAACATCTATAACAACAAGTAAAATCCAAGTTGTATCTTTTTTATTATCTGAAAATTTGGACAAATAAGAGCCTAATAACATTAAAAAACAAAATCGCAGTATGATAGTTTTTGCAAATTTTATATATAAAAAATTAATATAGCGAGTTTTGAAACAGTAACCTTTACATAGCTAGCTTTTTATAGCTTTTCGCGTTCTCTCTTCCATGAAGATTGGTCTGCTTCTTTTTTACGACGTCTTCCACTAGACACCGCAACTACCACGTTTTCTTGCAGTGTTCTAAGTTCATCAGAAGGTGGAGACTTTTTAACTTGTGTAAATACGTACAATAAATATTGTAGCAACTTTTGAAAGTGTATATATACATACAGTAAGTATTATAGCGACTTTTGCTAGAGTGTCTAACATTTGATGCTATTTTTTTTTTCAGAATATATAAGGATTTTGCACTGTATTGTTAGTGGACATGAAACTACTTTAAATACTAGTATGTTAACCACCAAATACTGGAAATCGAAAACATTTTATATAGAGCACTTTGCAAGTGGACTACTCAATTTTGAAAAAAGGGTAGAAGTGATAGCTATTTCGGAAATCACTACATTTCCTTATCAGACTTCTTCCAGTGGGTGAGTCAGCTAGGGTCGTTGGATCGAGTCCCACTGAAAGCAGTGTGATGAAGAAATGTGGTGATTTCCGAAATAGCTATCACTTCTACCATTTTTTCAAAATGATTGTTGCTTTTCCACAATAGTTTTTCATTAAAAACGGCCTCAAGCTCAATAAAATTTTTTGAATATAATTGTTATAAGGCCATAAAATAACAAAAAACTAATTTTCTGGGATAAGGTATTAATAATGCATGAGTTGGAAATAGGGGAACATATTAAAAAACAAGTAAGAAAGTCTAAGTTCGGGTGGAGCCGAACATTAAATACCTGGCGCAAGTATTAAATATACGTTTTTTCACCTTTCCGAAACCTACCGCTAGATGGTAAGCCGGGGTGTATCAATTTTGAGTAAATTAGCGTCCTTAAATTTCGAAATATTGCAGATTCAAGCATTTCTGAAATTTACCGTTATATGAAAAGCGGCCGCAATTTTAGTCCGATTTCAATAATTTTCAACGTTTTGCTTTTATGTGGCAAGCACAACAAAAATACCGAGTTTGGTACAAATTGATAGAACGGTTACCGATATACATATATGTGGTCATAAGTGGGCGGTGCCACGCCCATTTTCCAAAATTTAACCATAAACGTATTTCTTGGTAAAGAATTGTTGCGAGCATCAATTTTGAATAAGTTAGCTTTAATATTTACTGATTTATCGAAGATTTTGTATTTCTCTAAATTACCGTTATATGGGATGTGGGCGTGGTTATTGTCCGAGTTTTTAAATTTTCGGCCATTCAGTATGCTGTANAATATAATCTCAATCAAAGCTCGTTAGCTGTCAAATTGGTTGTGCTTGTTATTCACACAACTCGAGGAAAAGTTAAACTTCTTCTCTGTGCCACAGTGGTCACTTTTTTCTGCAACACATATTATGCCATTTAAATATATTTTAACTGAATATTTTATTAAAAATACACAGAGAAGATAATTTGCAAAAAACCCTACTGAAAAGGGAAAAAAAATTTTAAACAAAAAAATTTAATACAAAAACTTGAATTGTTTTAACCATAACCGAAAATTTGTTTGTGTAAATATTCATTTGTCAGTGCTGTCAATTGAAATTTCCTCAATTAAATAGGAAAAAAGCAAACAGAGTTGATCACAAATTGAGCCAGATTTCTATCAGTATCACATCGATGTTGAATTTGCGCAACTTTTCTTTTCCCAAATAATGTAAAATAATAAATGAAATCTCGATCGGAGATCACTGAAACGCAGCTAGCAACTGTATAAGCGAAAAGCAATATTGCCACTTTTTCTCATTAAAGCATGTTCGAATCGTGGAAATTTTGGAAGATCACAGGGTTGCTTTTAGCATTTAGATTCTTAATGCAAAAATGGAGTTGCATTTAGGTGAAGAATTTTGTATGGATAAATGAACATTTAGAGTAGCATTTAGAGCTAAATGCGCTTAATGTGCTTTTACGCGTAAGCAAAAACAGCCCATTAGGCGATTCAGTTACATACATACAAATGTAGGTTAGGTAAGAAATTAAACATTAATTTCACTTAATTTTATTCATTTTGCTGATTTAATTTTTTTATTCATTTTCATTTTTAAATCTTTTAATACATGAAATTATCGGGCGTTAAAATATCTTGGAAACACCGCATCAGTTATTGTTTTTGAGCTTATAATTTGAGCATTTCTATTTGTATATATTCCTAAATTTAGTTTTTCTTTTCGGAATATAATCTGTGGTTCATGTAAATGAGAGCGATTTTTGGAGAGTTGTGTAGAGATTGAAGTTGCAGGATTTTACCCGATGCTTTTTTGTTCCGTACGTTTTGCTGTTACACCCTTTTTACTCTCACTTCAGAGAGTGATTTTGCTGTTTGACCCTTTTCCAAGATTTTACACGAAAAGTATTGGATCAGAGCTATTATATCATCCATACATATGCATATTATATATACATATATTCATGTATGTTCATCAGTTATCAACGGTCCCAGTTAAAATGATTTCAGTACTTTTTTAAATTTTCGCCTTGCTTTTTTATCAAAATAGACTACTAAACCTATGCTTAAAACCATCTACGAATATCAAAACCAGGGCATGAATCACGTATGTCGACAATCGTCTGAACGATATCGTGTCGAGATAGTCTTGCTTCATAAAAATTAAAAATTTTTTGATCATTTGTGCGATATCGTCAACTCGATTCCAGGTTTGCTTCACGTAACAGTAACAGTAACACGTAACAGCAACACAAATGCATAAATCAGTGTTTTGACAACATCGTTTTGTCAGTATCGTTTGAACGACTATCGTTTCAAAGTTACGTGATTCATGCCCAGTTGCAACAAATGAGTCCATACATATGTATGTACATACATAGGTACAAAGCCGTATGCATGTGCGGATTTTATATAATCGGAAGTAATAATCATTTGTATCGCATTTCCTCTTTCTATGCATATGCCTAAATGTATGCAACCATTTACAAAAGCAAGCAAACACGGAGTGCTTCTAATGAAAATAAAAATTTTATGCTGAAATACACATTCTAAGCCCTTCAGAATTTTGTGCTAGGATATGTGTTACAGCTTCGCAAATTTTACCCCTACCGAAACCAAAGATGTATACACATCAATAAGTCCTTCCCTTCTAACGTTTTTGGCGCTCAATTGCTATAATCTTTTAGCCCTCTCAAACAACTTCACCTAGAGGTTTTGGTAGCCTTTTCCACTGCAAATGTAATCTAAACAGTGCAGCTGCAATAAGCTGTACATATTAGATATTTTAAAAATGTGATTAAGTGGTATAGCTAAAGTATGTACTTGCCATTAACAGGTCTATTCTGCGCGTTACCGAAGATTTTGTAACCGGGAAATTTTATTACCAAAAATGTTACCAGTTCTTGTCACCGCGATTCTAGCAACGTTGGTAATGCAGTTAAAATATTCAGCGATTCAACTATGAAGAATTGTGCAAATTCTGGCATTGCATATTTCACGGGGCAATACTTTGTTACCAGCTTATGAGAAGGTTACAAAATTTACCGGTTACAAGAGTACACAGAATGCGAAAAGGGTTTAAAAATTGACAGGAACTTTATTTACCGGTTACAAACTTTTTATTACCAGCGCAGAATAGACCTGTTAAAGACAGTTTTGGCCGTGCTGGTAGCAAGAAAAAAGTACGGCAACCATTCGTTTTTTCCACCCAAGAGCCTTTTACTTGTTGTGTAATGTTAGCGCGATTTCTTGCCTTCCTACAGCCAGCGGCTTGACACTTTGCAAAACTTTTGTTTTTTTTTGGTCGTACACTTAGGATAGGGATTGCGGCTGAATTGTATGTAGTTATTAAAGCAATGTACGCACATTTCATAAGGGCAGTTCGAAAGTAGTTATATGTGCTAACTACAGCACAAATTTATTAAGACTACTTCAAATGAGATAAAATAACTCTCTTCTTGGTGTACTTAATAGTACTTGGTCGGGTTTAGTTATTATTAAAAAGACTTGGTAGGATAACCTACTAGCATAGTTGAATATGGCGAAATAAGTAATCAGTTAGTGAAAATCTGCTTTTTATGTGAGCCTTTTAGTTGGGAAAATGTATAATAACAAAACCATTATCTCATAGGTTAATTCTGAGTGGTAAAAAACCATTTGTGTGCCAACAGTTCTGAACGAATGGAGAAAAAATTACAACTGTTCTTTCATCAGGAATATGCGAGCTCTCACATATTTGGTAAAACAAATTATTTTTTATTACTGGAAATATCGAATCGACGGGTAATCCGCCGTACAGTCCTGATTTGGCACAATTATTTGTTTTTGTTCCCGTACATCAAGAATAA